ATAAGAAAGATGAGTAGTTGGAATGAATGAGAGATGCGGAGGAGGAGGAGATCATTGCTGTGGAGGTAGAAGGGTCCAGGAGAGAGGGGGAGCATGAAGATGGGGGGCAAGAAGGATGAGGCCATGGGGCCAAGACCTGGAGTGGGGTGGGAGCCGCCAGGGACAAGGTGGAAGGTCAGCTTAACACACGGGGGCTGCATGATTGTTTTTATTCTTTGTGCTTTAAGTAATTTCTAGATATTTTATTACAGAATGTGAATAACTTTAATAATAAAACACTATAAAGTTATTTTATATTTTAATTAAATTTAAATAAGGTACAATGTATAAAACCCACAATGATGAGCACTCAATAGCCATTAAAAACTAATAGTAAAAGCAAAAGAATGAAATATTTTGAATTTTTCATATAGTAGGCTTGTTACTAGCAAGACCTTACCAGGAGACATATGCTAAGACTTAAAAAAAAAATCCATGGGAAAGACATAGTCTTTCTAAGTGGTAAGAGGTTGCCATTATTCTCTCTTAGCAGTGAGATATTTTAATGCAACTTATGGAAAACAGGCCAAGCACTCAGTTTGAGAATTAGATTGAGATACAAGGATTGACAATTGCCTCACACGAGCAATCTGCATGCATGATGTCAGTTCACTCCTATTAAAATATAAATTTTTTAAGAAGTAAAATGTGGTTCTCAGCCCTCCCTGGTGGTGCAGCAGGTTAAACCACAGCACTAAGAAGCTAAAGCCACTTCAGCATTAGTTCGATCCCTGCCCCAGAGGTGATCCACATGGCCTGGCAGACCTCTCCTGACCCGCCCGTTGCTCCCCTCAGCAGTGTACTTCATTGATCTGCCTGTTCTGCTCCCTCTTCTGTCTGATGAATACTCTCACCACCCCTGTACCCCAGTTCTGTATGCATTAAAAAATAAATCTTAAAAAAAATGTGGTTCTCGTCTAACTATGAAAATTAACAGTTGACAAAGATTTTAGTTAACTCATTAATTAATGAAAAAACTAGTAAGATGCTACAACTGTATCAAAAGAGAATTTGAATAACACACATGTATTAATAATCAGGGATGAATTTAAAAATAGATGCTAACTGGTCATTATCTACAGAGCAAGATCCAACTGCTGTAAGAACCGCTTATAAACAGGACATAATACATTGGCACTTTTGTGAGCAGGTATTATTCTTATACTGTTGTTTTCTCCAATACACAGAATTGTACCATAGCTCAAAAACAGTAAGTGCAGGCTCCTCTGGCATCAGACAGCCCCTAAAGAATGTGCTCGATGAGCTTTTTGGTTCACCTCAAAGTCTTTCACCAATTTTTCTAGCAGTCTCTCTCCATGTGATCATGATCATAATATTATATATATATATATATGTATATATATATATATATACATATATATATATATATTCTTGACCAAAGTCAAAGTCCATTTTAGAGAGGGAGCCAAATGCTTTCACTCTTCAACAGAATTTTTTCAGCTCATTTCTAGGTTCCTTGCTACCAAGTCATCAAGAAGTGCCATCCTCTCCAACAGAGGAAGCCCGAGGTCCCCCTTCCTGCCACCCTCTGCACTCCCCACCCTGCCAGTCTTACACCTTGAACCCTGCCTCTGCCGCCCCTCTCTGAGCCCCGGGCTTACCACAGAGGCACTGGGATGAGAGAACTATCGCACTTCACAGAGAGACAACTACAGGTTCCCTGTGGAGGAGCAGGCGTGTTTTTCCATAAAGGGTTTGACTCCAGTCAAGTGCATAACAAAGGCTCAGTTCAAGCTCCAGAGCTCTGCTCCATAGAAACTCTGAGGTGGCTTTATTGAAAAGGCTGGCGTGTCATGAGGGCAGGTGTTACAAAGCGCTTGCCTCCGCCGCTCACGGATGCCAGCTTGGCCCTGTAGGACACACGGCTTCCAGGAGAACAGCATCCTAATCGGCCTGCCAGGAGGGGCTGGCTGCAGGGTAGTCCAAGTAGCTGGATGAATGAGCCTGTTGGACGGACGTATTTAGAACTGGCCACTTTGCACAGCTGAGTATAGACCAAATATAATTTTCATTTTAGTGTACTTGCCACTAAGCTGCTCTTTCTGACCATAATTAGCCAGCATGCTCAATTGCTTCTTAAGGGTGCTAGTCCCTAATAAAAATTAAAACCAGATCATTTGGTTTTCCTATTTGCTGTGGCAGAAGACATGCAACTAATTGACTGATAGCAGTGTGGGATGATTTGGGAAAAACCACAGACTTATTTTGTACCATTCAAATCAGGACCAGCTTGGAGACTGCCATCTTTCCCACTCCAAAATCCTTCCGTAGTAATAGAACTTTGTACAGTAATAATAATAATAAAAATAATACATGGTGTAATCTACTCTAAGTTCTTCGACAGGAGAGGTTCTGAAGGGACAAGAGTTGGGAATCTCTGCCAGGTCCAGACAGGGCCAGCAGGAGAGCCAGAGGTTATGAGGGACTACTGATGTACGCAGGCACCTTCAGTGCAGTGACACACCCGGGCAGCGGCAGCATTGTCCAATATGTGCCAGGCATGCTGTTGGCATCACAGTGGCCCTGCTGAAAGATGGGCACCATAACCAGTACTATTGCACAATGGAGTCAGCATACATAAGGGCATGATGGGACTCAGCTCAAGGAAGAAAAGGAAAGCAGCACTTTAGCTGGGGGACGAGAGGGTTCCCAGGCCGACACCACCACATACCCCCGGCCATATACTGGCTCAGTGTCCCCAGTGCTAGTCACATTAGAAGCTGCTGTTTCTACCAGGCGCCAGGCTTGCTCTGATTCATCTCACACTGGCCCCTCACTCACCACACCACACCCTGCATTTGCACCACAACAGGAGCACATTATGTGGCATGAAGTGACCTGTCTGATCATCTCCAGGGTGCAGAACGGAGAGTGATCATCTCATCTCTGTGTCTTTACACTCAGCAAGGTGCCTGGTATGGAGCAGAGGCCCAATCAAGATTTAGTGCTGGGTAGATGGACGGAAATATTACACTTATGTGTAAACATCTCTGTTTTGTTTTGTCAAGATGTCTGGAGGAACCAATCAGTCACACAACTTGTCGAGAAAATAACTGGTGGAGTTTGAAACAATGCCTTATTTTATGTAAACTAGGGAAGGTAGAAAATTTCTCCTTTAGAAGACCATCTAAGTCTATAATTTGAACCCAGCTTGAGGGACTTATTTCAGAATGCCTGCCCAGTTGTAGTGATTGCCATATATGGATGAATAAACACACTGGCTATCACGAGGAGATGGCCACCCAGTGGCAGCTGTCAATGTCAGAATTCTAAAGGTAAGAACTTTCCTTCTGTCACACTCTCTCTGTATACATCGCTATCAAACTTTGTTTTACTGATAGGCCATATGGCATGTGACACCTTATCTTCTCAGGAACGTAATTGAAATAAATCAATGATTTCTTTCATTGATCAGAGCTACTGAGCTAAAACTAAGTCGAATGTCAGCATGCAGACTGGTTTCCACACACACCTGCCCCTGAAAGGCAATAACTGTCAGTGCGGTTCCCAGGAAGGGGAACACGCACCTGCACAAGGGGCCATTCTGAAAGGGCTCTAAACTGAAGCTATGGGTGACCATTTAGAAGCCTAGGACATGGACATTCAACAGCCTTTCATGATACCAGGGACTTGGTTGAGGGGCAGTGCCGGCCAGCCTGTGGGGGGAAGTATGGGTGATCATGGAGGATGACCCAGCCCTGTGAACAGATCTCCGAGAAATGAAGTGACCTGTCCAGCATCCAGGGAGCTGCTATGAAACCAGTATGGCTGGCACAAGCTGGGTGTAAGGAGCAGGGTCACCTGGGGTTGGCAGGTGGGAGGTGGGCTGCATGAGACAGAGGAGGCAGGGTTCGGTGTTAGGTGCAGGAGGAGCCTCACCAGGGAAGTAGGGCCCAATCATATTTGATGAAGAGAAATATTCTACTTGTGTAAAGCACATTTTGGAATGAGATGAGCAGAGACTAGGGGCCAGCTAAGGGCTATTGCCACTGCCCTAGTCAGAGATAATGGTGGCCTGGGCCAGGGAGTAGATTCCAGCAAAGTCCTGGAACCCCATTTGGCATGACTACTGACAAGCTGAAGGTAGGCAGAACACAGGAGAGTGAAGAAGGGGCCAGGCTCTGCTCCTGGGCTTCTAACTTGAGCAACAAAGAAGCCATAGGATGCTAACATGAAATTCAAATGGCCACAGTAATGAGCAAGCACAGTACTAGGGCCAAGAAGTAGTCCAAAGCCAGATTTTGATGGAATTAAGTTTGAGAATTCTTGAGACAACTAAGTAAAGAGGTAAAGTAAAATGTATGACCTGAGGGTCTGGGTCAAGACTTACAAAGCAAGATATGCTTTCAAAGAAAACAAGCGCTTACAGCCACATGGTTTCCCAGGAAGAAGTTCTGGGAGGGCAGAGAGGAGTGAGCCAGTGGACAAAGAAGGGCATGTCCTGTGGTCAGCAGGCGAAAGGAGGTAGGATTGGCTAGCGAGGTTGGAGGAAATCCAAGAAAGAAAATGTCTGCTAAAGGAGGGCTTCAGTGATATACTAACTGCTGCTGAGGGGCTGAGGAAGGGGAAGAAAGTAAGGACACATATGTTTGAATCAAAGGAAACATCTAGATGTTAACTGCTAACATTGTGGACTTCTCCAACCAAGTGGGGGTAATGATAACCTAGGATCTTTGCTTTGGTCAGCCACCTGGGGCCTTTATCCCAACAGACAGGCTCCTGCAGCAGGCCCCCCAACTAGTCACTTCTTTCTCCTCCAGGCTGCCACATCTCCTTTTATTCTTTCTATAGTGAGCTGTGCTTATCATTTGAAACCCCATAAAGCATCATAACTTTTTACTGGTTGTTTTGGGTCTGAGCCAGAAGTAAAGGTTACAGACATTAAGAATACGAAAGAGATCTGATTATTGTCCATGGCGACAATTTTCTTTGCTACTTACTGTTTTCAGACAGCTCCACAATGTAATAAAGAACAGGGCTGTTTCCATCAAAGGGTCGAACCCAAGAAAGCACCACAGTGTGGCTGTGGGAGGAATTCAGACTGGCCAGGAGGTTCTGAGGCGAATGAGGTAGTTCACTTGGATTTAAAAAAAGATAAAAAGGAAAAAAAAATGCACATCAGAATTGATGGTTAGTCTGGGTTCTTACATTGCACAGCCCTGACCTGTAATGTGTATAGAGTAGAGAACATAACATATGCCCCAAACTCAAATACTATCTCTTCTCCCTCCCCCCAAGAAGTCCTGCACCATTCACAATGTTATTTTGTTCTCTAAAGTACCTCCCAAAGGTATTGACACAACTAACGGCATTGCCATCTAAATCCAGGGGGGATTGCCGTTTTTTATACAGGATATTATTTCATTGAGAAAATGTGGTCAACAATTTGTTTGTACAACTAGAAGCAGTAAACAGACATGTAGCAAGCGCATAAACAGGAAAGGCCTGGGACATATGATGCAATGTTTGTTTCCAAAGCTAGCATTTGGAGTTACCAGCCCAAATACCCATACGTATTCGCAGACAACTTAGTTACCTCATTTATTGACAGCATGAGGTTACATTGTTTTGCCCTCTGTTAGATAATGGAAATTTAGGAGCAGTACTGACAGGGAAATGTGGTGAAAACGCTAACTAAAACCCTGTGGAAATAATAAATAACTTATCGGCAAGGCTATAAAATGGAAACGCAAGTAAAGTAAATAAATTCTGAAAAGAAGTTACTAATAGGGAAGGTCCTCACAGGCCCGAACTAGTGGCAATGCCTCAAGCTCCCACTCGGTAGTTCCCACCAGCACAGTAAGTCCCCAACCTTAAGTCAGAAGCTGCTTGAATCCTGTATTTAACCTTTCCAGCTCATGATTCTGGGAGCAGGGCCCTGTTTTGTGGCCATTAGGGATGACTACCTTCCATTGGCACCCTGGCAGTGCCAGGGCAAGGGGTGCTGAGAACTGCCCTTTTCCTCCACTAACTAGTGCTTGGTTTCTCTTGGACTTCAACTACTGCTGACCCACGTAGGTCAGAATAAAAAGCCATAATTATACTTGATACTTTTAATTTAAAAACTGTACTCATTAGACTTTGGAATTTCTTAAATTGTTATGTGCTTGCAGCTACCGAAGAAACATAGCTTTCTCTAACCCAGGCACACCGTTTAGAAACAAACTAATATTTCTAATGTACACTATGACTTTAAATGAGTACAATAAAGAATAATCTTGAGCCTGAAATATTGCCTTGCTTTCTCTTTAATTGTGAATTAAATTTTAAATCAGAAAAGAGCAGCTATTTCTATTTGATTCCTCCAATAACTAAATCTCAAGATTTCTAATGAAGACCAAAGTGAAGGAAATAACAGGATAAAAATATCTGTTCTACTTCTCTCATTTTTTTTCCAAGCTAACTTAGTTTTGTCTGAAACCAAACAGAAGTGTTGTAGTATTCTTATGTGAGAACAGTCTAAGAATAAGCGCATATAAATATGTTCAAGAAAGACTGTGGTATAACACAGAACTTGCCTGGCTTTTGTCCTGACTCCCTGGATAGGGCCTCTAAACCTTTGGAATTTCCTGAGTGACAGGATTGTCTTTGCTACTCTCAGTGGGCCCCCTCGGACCTCACCTGAGTTTAAACCAACAAGGTCACATAAGTGGGGCCCAAAATAATTCTAGGAAAGGGCTAGACAAGTCTGTTGTATGACTAGAGAGTTGGGCACTGAACCACAGACACCCGCTTTCTGAGCTCCTGGGTGGAGGGGAGGGGGCTAGAGGCTGAGCCCAGCCCCGTGGCCAGTGATCCAACTTACCACCGACACCGCAGTGAGAACGCAGGTGTGCCTCCTGGTTGGTAATCAGACCTCTCCCTGAAGACAGGGGGGTTTCCTGTTTGGGACCCACCCCCCACATCTCTTCATTTGTCTGGTCCTCAGTTTAGTCCTTCACAATAAAACTGAAACTGTAAGGGTAGCACTTATTTGGATTCTGTGAGTCATTCTAGAAATTACTGAACCTGTCAGGATGGTGGGGAGCCCCAAATTTAAATGAGTCCGTCAGAAGTCTGGGTGGCCTGGGAAGTCTGGAGCTTGTGGCTGGTGTCCGAAGGAAGGACAGTTTGGCTATGGACAGTGTCCTCTGCCTGTGGGGTCTGGGCAACTCCAGGTAGTTAGTAGCAGAATTGCACCGTAAAGACTTTCCTAAGAGTTTTCTGACATGATGAATGTTAGTTTAGAAGAGTGAAGAAGCTAATTTTTGTCCCAGGCCACTTTGGACTTTAGGGAGGCTCCTTGCTAGCTCCCACGGTCCGATCTCAGGGTTGGGAGGAGAGGCTCTGGAAGCAGACGCAGACCCTGTGAGAACCTGAGAAGACCCGTGCAGCACAGAGCCGGGGAGAGCCCGGCATTTCACTGTGGGGAGAAAGCAGTTCCAGTGAAACAGTTCAGAGGACTCATCTCTGGGGCTTGGCCACAAGTCAGAAATCATTCTACCTCCAACCCAGGTACTTATTGGCCCTTCCTTCACCGCAGCCAGCGGTTACATTCAGGAATCTCCACTTCATCTGCCATCCACCCATCCACATGCATCCAGTCACTAACTCTTACCTCAGAGATGACCTTAACACCAAGCCCTCTGCTCCATCAGTGGACCGGCCCTCAGCCCAGCCGCTACCCGTCCTCTCAGAGTTCCAACTAGTCTGCTCATTGCCACTTGGGCTACACTGGAAGGATAACATAGCTTGCTAAGGGCATGGGTGAGACCATCAAAATTCCTGGGGTGTCTCATTGAAATGGACTGTTTAGAGTGGAAACTGGGACCCCAAGAGCAGCTGATTAGAAAGGGCCCCAAGGGACTGAACAAAATATAATAGGAGGGAGGACAGACTATTAGGCAAATGATGAGCTGGGCTTTGAAGGGGCCAGGCAGCCATGGCTGGCATACAGCAGAGGTCTGAGAGAAGACATGGGGAATAAGCTGGGGTCATTCAGCTAGGTTGGGCCAGATGGCAAAATGGCCATCCTCGTCCTGGAGGATGTGTGAACTGGGCAGGAGATAGAAGTGAATGGGCAAGGCTGTGATGGACAAAAGGAAGGATCAGCCGTGACTCATGAGGAACCACCACATCTTTGCATACTTTCTCCAGTGGCCTAGAGTAGGTTATACTGGATCTAATTCTAACCTCTAAAAGTTCACCCTTCCCACAGCTGGGAAAAGATGGGTGTTCTCACAGTGGATTTCCAGGCATGCTTCTCTTAGCCTAAATTGAGCACACACTCGGAAACAACCACTCTTCAGGTGAGCAGGCAGCTCTTCTCTTGGGTTGGAGGCTTTAAAGGCTGTCAAATTCACAGGACTTGCCTAGAATCACTCATTCGGCTACTAGCTCATGAAGCCCAGGATATGCTCATGTTCAATCCCTCTGTCCTTCGAGCATGCTGATTCTCACTCGGATGTGATTCTAGAAAGACTGGTTTCTCGTTTCCCTCTTTCTAGGAGATCAAAGCAACCAAAGAGAAGGCCACAGCCAGCTGGAAGTGGGTGCAAACTAGACAGCAAAGTGGTATCCAGAAGCCTGAGATGGAGGGATGAAAAGATTTTTTTTAAACACTTAAAGGAAAAAAAGACTTAGAACAAAGTAGCTTCGAGATATGTGGATGAATTGCGACCTGCAAGGCCAGGGGTGAAGAAGGCATCACTGGCTGCCGCTTCTAGAAACAGTAGCCCTCACACATGCCTTGTGTCCAACAAAGGCTTCAGTGACTCACCGCCACTCAGTATGAGGGCTCAGTGCAAAATGTGACATTGACACATACCACAGGCTCAGAGTTGCAAGGAAGTTTAGATCCTTTCCTAGGTCTGGCTTCTACTGAGGTAGGACAGGAATGTAGCACAAAGCCTAAAGCTCCCTACTCCTCCCATGGGGGTATTTCTGAAAGACAGCTCTGCAGATTCCAGAACAAAGTGATTCAAACCCTACTAGTTTATCTTCACACCTGGTGCCACTAGTTGTAAAACTTGTCCTATTTTAACTAGCAGGAGACTGGGGGCATGGTGCTTTGATAAACAAAACCGGCCCCAAATCACTATTCCAATCTGCTAAACAAAAACGGCTCCCCTGTGGGAGCCCCCACCCCTCAAAATAAGGATGTGTTTATACCAGCAGCCTGGAGACCGGGTGCCACTGTGAATGTGCCCACAGCTCGCCGAGGCACTGTCGCCACAGAAGCCTCCTCCCTCACTCCCCTGTGCTGACTCCTGCTGAATTCTTACCTGCTTAGAAGTCGAGAACCTTGGGACACCGCACCCAGGGCCCCAGCATGACCCTTACGAAAATCCCCTCCATCTCTTGTGTTCATAGCCTCTGCTCAACAGCGCTAAGAACTGTTTAAATTACGCTGGAAACAAACCGTTTCTTCAAATGTTAAGTTTTGGTTATCTAGAAAACTAAACTCTGTAAAATATTTGACTAACTCATCAATAACTGATAGAGGAGGCTTTAATTTATTCTGAGTCTATTTCAGAGAATCTTATCTAATGGGGATAGATTGTGTCTTGGCATTTCTCTGCCAAGTTTGAAAGGAGATAAATGATCAGCAGAATGACTCACAGACAGTAATATGCAGACAGGGTGACCAAGGAAAGTGGGTGGCAGAACAGTGGGAATCAAGCCCAGTGCTGAGTCACTTTGTAATTTAAAGAGGGGAGAAATCACCATCAGGCAAATTACACCACAATAATATCAGAAATTAACAACCGACCCAGCACTGTAGAGGAAGAGATTAAGGAAGGTGTGTTTGAGAAAAACAGCTTGGAGAAAGACTCAAGAGAAAGCAATTGGTAAAATTGTGGCTTTAGGGGGGAATTGCTCCTGCAGAAGAGGATCAGAGAAGTATTTTTCTATATAAAAAGACATTGCCCCTTTAATGCACAAATGACAATTTGGTCAAACCCATCTTCTTTGACTTCAGTCTGAAGAAGAAGATGAGGGGACCTGATAACTCTCGAGAAAGGGTATTAAATTGTTCACTCCTTATTATGGCTTTGTCAGAGGTAGTTTCATTGAAAGAAACCACTCCCCCTGCTCCAGGGTTTGGTCTTCAAGTGGGCTCTGTAAATTAGTTTTTTTCTCTACTTTAGGCTCAAAAGAATTAGTCTCTGATCTCAGAAAGGGAGATGTAATGCTAATTGAGTCTTTAAATGATTAACAATTAATCAATCCACAAAGCCTGAGGAACCTGGTCCCTCTGGGGTGTTCAATACAGGAAGTTGTTTGGGGGGATGGAGTTATCCCAGAACCAGCTCCTTCCCTAAAGACATCAGCAAACTAGTAAGAAACACAAGTAACACAACTGAGGACCTGTGTAACTATGAGCTATGTGCTATTCATTTCCAGGAGTCGATTTGGAATTCCTAGAATTGTAGTGGCTTCTCGTCTTGGAGAGGGGGTAAAAATACACAAATGCACAAAATACCCAAACCATTTTAACCTGGTAGGTGGGGTGAAGCTTATGCAGATATTAATGGGGAACCTAGCCTATTCCAGACATCGACGGCACAGCAGTGAACAGGTTTACCTTGTGTGTCAGAGGGTCATAAATATGGTCAAATGTGAGGCGTGATAAAAAGGAAACTTACTGGTGCTGGTGTGGGGGAGGTGCTGTTGTTGAACGGAGGAAGACCACTTTAAAAAAAAAAAAAATCAGGAGGTAAGGAATAATAAGAGCTGTGGCTGAATGAGTATCCACCTAAGCTAGGTCCCATGCCAGGATTCACAAACATGCTGTCATCCAGGCCTCCTGACAGCTTTCCAAAGTACATGAGAGCATGTCCAGGTAAGATAACAGAGGTTGGAAGAGAAGTCACCTGTCCAAAGTCATGACATTGGCAAGAGGTGGGAGGGCCTCCAGGCCAGACTCTGGGAAGCTGTCACCTTTCCTGCACGGCAGGGATGCCCTCCCTCCAGCCAGGCTCACACCGAGAGCACAGAAGTACCCAGCACGGAGCAAACAAACCTGAGAGCAAGTCAATGAAGGATCCGCTTTTGAAAAGCCCACTTCTAATGCTCCTAATTTCTATATTTAATAAAGCAGCTTTTAACTGAAGTGGGGAGGCAGGGGAAGTGGGCTTTCAGGCTCTTTTGAAGGACACTGTTCAGCCACGAGTACCTCTCAGTTACTTCTGCGATATGAGATTTTTTCTTTTTTGTTATCTGAGTAAATCATAGAAATGTTACTGAGCTAGATCTGAAACTTTTCTGAGAGCCACAAAATGCCCTGCAATCGTGAGTTATTGTTATTATCATTACTACTGTCATTACTGATGTCAGAGAGTTAAGACCTATTTGGAGCTGAAGACACACCACACTATAACCTGCAACGTCCCCAATTCATTCAGATTTGGAAGAGTGGAGTGTTTATTACACTAACAATTCACAAGGAACAACTGTCTCCAAATCGGCTTTGTAACCAGTTGCACCTAAATTGGTTTGAACTACAAATCTGCAAATATTTCTATATTTAGAGATGAGGTGTTTTGCCATTACAGAAAGCCTATTATTTTATGGATGCAGCAACATTTGCTGAAAAATGTATTTTACTTAGAGGAATCAAATAAACAAATAGTAGGGAAGATATGTAAATCAGCAGAACATAAAAACTGTGCAGAACAAAAAGAATGCACCATGTTGGAAGTATGCAATTTGCTACTGCTGACAGAGTCTTTATGAAACGCTAGCATTTATTTGGTACCAATGATGGATGATCTGAGGGTCCTCAATGGTAGTTTAAAAATGTGAATAGCACAATGGACTATATAGATTCACTGGTCATGTAGTCCAATATTATTAACATTAAAAAAGTCCTAACAAGAGAAATGGAAGGGAGAAAGGGCAGAGCACCGGACTGAACAAGAGCTTGGGGTGCTGGGTATCTGGTTCTCAACAGTGTGATCCGAGCCATTTGTTTGATTATGAGGGGAAGTCCGGTGTCTGCGAGCAGAAGGGAAGTTCAGGAACTGTCCTGAATCAGGAGAATCCCAAAGGTATGTAGCACATGCACGTTCATTTATGCATTCAAACAACTGACTTATTTTTTGAGCACTTACTGGGAAACCAAACACAGTCAAGCACACAAAAGCCAAACGGTGCCATCTAGATGCTTCTACTTTGGTAGGGGAAGGAACAGTAAAACAGGCACTTCCACCTGTATGAGCCATACTGGGACAAGATGGCAGCAGGTGTGGGAAGCTCATAGGAGAGAGACCTCCTGGTGCCCCAGAGCAGGACGCAATCCTGAAAGCTGGATGGGAGGGGCGCGCTGCGAAAGATGGTTTAAAACAAGGCAAGCAGTGGAGGAGCAGGTGGCTGAGGTGTCACGGAAGGGGCCCAGCGGGGGCCAGAAAGAACGGCCCCAGGGTCAGCAGGCAAATGCTGAAGGCAGGGAGAGAGGCTCTGGCCCTTGCAGGCACACCCACAAAGCCGGGGTCTTCGGGCAGCAGCCTGGCAGCGCCAGGAGCCCCAATGCCAGGTCTTCAATGGCTGCAGGGATGCTCGCTCTTTTCAGTCCTAAGGAGGGTGACCTGTGTTCCCAGGGCTCCTCCTTGAAAGAGACCAACTGGGAGGATGGGCTTCCTGCAGGCACTGAAGACACACCACAGGCTTGAGCCAGCCAAAGCAGCACAAAGCAGCACAAAGAGGGGCCAGCAGACAGGAGTTAGTCTCCTCATCCACCCGTGTGTGCACGTGCACACCGGCCACGAATACAGGAGCCACGTGTTTAGTACTTAGCAAGTGTTTCTTTCTTTCTTTTAAATGTTAATCCCCTTGATCAGAGTCTAGAGGTTCAAAGACAAAGGAGACATGGCCCTGTATTCCAAGTGTTCCAGTTCTATTTTTAGGGGAAGATTGTTGTCTATAAAATCCTTCCTGGGTCCAGGTGGGCAGAGTCCAGTGAGAAAAATCTCTGAAAATTGCCTTTTCTAATGGCCCAGCATGTCCCGTGTCAGCCGGGGGCCACTGGAGCTGGCTGCCCTGACAACGGATGGCTCTGCCCTCCTTCTTGATTTTCAGGTTTCGCTTTTGTCAGCATGTGCCCAGGGAATATCTGGAAGGGCACCACTTTTAAAAGCAAATAAATATATGTCAGAAAAGTAAAAGTTGTCAGCAGGCTTTTCAGTCTCCTGTCTATGGACAGAGGGAGTCGTGGCAGAGAGCAGAAGACAGAAGAGATCGATGGTCTCCTGCCTGGGCCTCCTTGTGCCCAGCCAGGTGCAGAGTGGAGTAATGGGCAGCTGCCTGCTATTTCCAGGATTTCAAAAGACTTAATGGAAAGTATCTGTTTACCACAGAGAGGCGTTTGTACTAACTTCAACTTGCAGGCTGGTGGACTTTCACAGGTAGGGCTCCTCTTAGCGGGCTGACCCTGACATTTCTGACTGAGCAGAAGCTCTGATGGGCATTCCATGAAAAAATGACTTTCTATTTCTTGCCTGTGGTGTGGTGAACAGAACCTACTCCAATATGGTGTGGATGGGGGGCGGGGGGAGAGCATATAATACCAGGGGTCACTGAGGAGGAAACCTCATTAGCAAATCATCTAAACCATTTCAGAGGTTACAACAGAGCCCTGTTGGGTGTACATAAGGCAGAAACCTCTGCCTGTTGACCAGGGACCCAGCTTGGATGACGCCCATGTTAGGTGATGGTGACTTGCACCAGGGCTGGCTGTCACCATGCATAGCCAGGCGACCGTGACCGTGCCATACTCACATCACTTCCAGACGGGCGGTCCTGGAGTCATTCCCACCCGGGGAGATAATTTCACAGGTGTAGTCTCCGATGTCACCTGACCAGGTCTGGCTAATGAGGAGGGCCCCGTCTTTCTCCACCACAATTCTGGAGCTGCTAGATGGGGTGAGGGCCACGCGGTCCTTCTTCCAGACATAGCTGTAGGCCAAGCAGAGTCTTAATTTAGGATCTTGGCCTCTGATCCTTCCCTGACTATTAAGAAGCAAACAACTGAGACCCGTGAGTCTAAAAACCATTCAACTGTGCTCTTGTCAAAGTATGAATTTTATGATATGTGAATTATATCTTTAAAACAGCAACCAGATAGCTTGCTCATAATTCAAAAGTAGATACTGAAGTTAAAAACAGGACAATGAAGGTAACTGAAATAGTTATCAGGCCTTTGAGTTTAAAGACAGGAAGTGCACCCACCCACTAAAACTGAATCTAACATTCCTGCCCCAGGAATTCTCTGAGGACAATGGTATGGCAGGGCTGACTGTCAATGATTGCTTAAAACATCCCAGAGTGGAATCGCTAACTTTAAAAAAAAAATAGATCACACCCCAAACCATGTTCTCTTAAAAACCCAACCATCCTGTACTCTGCCCTTACCGTTGCATTTCTTTCTTGGTTTACTTTATTTATGAAAATTTTAGCACATTTTCCTTTTCAAATGTGGAGTCACTTAAGTGCTCATCCAGCCTCTAGACTTCAGTGAGCGGGGCCACTCCTTACTACTGGCTGGATGGGAAGAGCTGGCTTTCTTCTCCAAAATAATTTGATTAAAGTTCCAAAATGGATGGAGTTCTTTAACGGAGGCCTACTATGCAAAATGCAGATATTTACAAATCGAAATTACCCCAATGTAGAGACAGAAAATGCTTGATTCTACAAGGAGGTTTTGAGGTACAGAAATCGGCTGAGACAGTCACTGAAGACCTGAGCTTTCTGGGGGCAGAGAAACTCTGGTCCCAGGGGTACCCCAAGAGTGAGTGACCTAATTCCTTCTCATGAAGGAGGCTCTAATTTTCTCTGTTTAATTATCACACTTAAAAAGTTACAAGGAAAACACCAAGATCCCAGGGTATTATTTCTGAGCTCTCAGAGTAGCAGAAAACCAGTCTTAATTGTCCTCGGTTCCTCTTTTGAGTCATAGTCCCAAGTCATTTAGAAATGAATGGATCCTTTTCTAGGCACGAGAACTGACTTGAAGACAGCCTCCAAGGATTCTCCAGGTAGCCTTCTACTTATCAGTTTTTGTTCATTTGTTTTGCATCCCACATTCTTGTAACTAAAATGAACTTGGTTTTGAGTTCTGCAAACTCCAGAGAGACAGGTGGAGATAGGAAGTTCAAGATTTGCCAAACATCTGCCCAAGAACAGGGAGAGGACAGCTTAGTCTCTGGATTCAGCTAATGATGTATGCATCAACAGCCATCTCCCTCTGCTCAGAGCCAAATGTTCCAGAAGAAGGAAGGCATCTTGATTCTATCCATTTGGCAGACTGCAGGCCTTTTGGGCTAAGGCCAGTGTGAAAACACTAGCATGGCTGTATCTCTGTAGATTCATTGCTAAGGCAAATTCTGAAATCTTTTCTGAAAGTAGCAGCTTTTATGGAAGATGCTCACCATGGACAGCACCTGTGTTTGCTGCCACCCATTCACCCAGAGTGTTATATTTATCGTTGCTGCCTTTCCAGTCAGAACTGAAACAAAGGCAATACGTTACAATTTCTTTGTGAATCTCCAGGTTCCCTTCTTCACCCGATATGTCAGATAACTGGCTGCCTTCCTTCCATGCCAGGCCTCCCTCACTTTCCATTTCACAATGAAACCATCTTTGGAGGAGAGAAAACCCCTCTGGAGTATTAGCACAGACCGAGTACAAACACTACTGAAATCCTATTCGATCCCTCTGGATTTTTCTCTCATTAAGTATCAGCCTCTGACAAGTACGTTTTACAGATAGTGTATTAACCTTGGCAGAAAAATCATGAAAAGCTGTATTGAAGTCATGAAGTGGAACATAGCTCACTGTAAATAATACATAAGGCTGGAGTCGAAAATGGGATTTGTGTGATTAATGATGGAGCCCACGACTGTAAGATGCTGTAATCAGGGATCTGTGGCTGAAATCAAAGTTCCTAAAATTCTTCCTTCTTGTCTCAGCCTCACTTCCTAAGCTCACAGAATAGTAATGAACCACAAACGCTAATTGACTGAGCTGACCGGAGAGAAATCCGGGGGTCATGAATGGCTCCACAGCGCAGGGTGGCGGTGGTCCCCTTAATCACGACTAGGTCTTCAGGAGGGTCGACAATGGATGTTCTATCTGGAAAAAATACAAGTCATGACTCAGATCAAAGTGTATGTGTGAAAATTCCCTCCCACGGAAGGTGACGTGCTGGTCATCTCACAGTAACCTCCGCGTTTCAGCTTGGCAAGACGCGTGTAAATGGAGCACTCAGAGCTGCACAGGGAATAGAAAGAGCCCTCTGCATTACAGCCAGGGCTGCCTCCCTGAGACTCCCAGGTCACCCTGGACCACTAAATACTCTGGAAGAAAATGAGAATGGAAGGTCATATGTAAATATCTATTAGGTTCTTCTCACTTAAGTAAAAATCTTGATTCTTTCCCAAGTAGATCATCAGTTCTAATGTTTAGTGTCTGTATAGCACTTTGTGGCTTTTCAAATTCAATCTTGTGAGGTTGTGCTATCATTACTGCCGGTTTTCAAGAAGGAAGACTGAAGCACAGCAGCCCAGCCGCTCTCCCCATTCCTCGGAGCTGGAGCTGGTAAGGAGGTGCCTGGTGCTGAGTGGTTCCGCCTCTACCGGCTGCAGCCTGTGTCCTCACATTGCCCACCTCTGAGGTGAACGCTGCTCTGACACCAACTGAACCTCGAATCCTGCCATCACAAGGCTCAGCTCAGGGCCCACCGCGCTACTGCTATGCCTCTGAGCTCCTGTCTGTATCAGGGGGATGCTGATCACGTTGAGAGGATAAAGCAGGAAACAGTGTATGGGGAAATGTTCTGCAGGTCACATGGGGGTTGTTCCACCTCCCACCGGTGTTGCTTTGACTTTGAGATCTGGTGTCTGATCTACAGAGATTGAGCTACCAGCTTTCCCTAAGCCTTTAAGTGAATGGTTAATTCACAGATGATGAATCAGAAGTGGCTGACCGAGTTGGTCACCAAACACCACCACATGGAACAAAGCCTCTTATTTAGTACTTGGCAACATTATGGGGAACTTGGATTCATTGCTTTTAAACTCATGGTATTTTTAGAACCCCTAATATATTAGAAAGCGTCAACAATCCAAGTGGACAGCAATTCTATCATAGAAAAAGCCAACAGTTATTAAAGGATAGTAATTTAGTTTTTTTTTTTCCAAAGGTGGTATTTTAACAAATTATCCCCTTGTGAGAGTTGACACTTTCACTCCTTACATAGATAGTTTTATAAAGATCTATAAGTAAGCATTATCTTTTGTTCATGTACAATGATTTTAAAAATAATATAGAGAGGATGAAAAAAACAGATTGGTGAGTGAAGCTTCAAAGAGGGAGGGCAGAAATACTTGGTGCTCTGGAAAGCAATTTATGCTAACTTTTCAGAAACATGAATTGTAGGTAAAACAAGAGTCAATAAAAGGTATAAAAATAATAAAGATCTTTTCTTCCCTTCTAACATATAGGGAACATTTGTTTTAATATACTAAACATATTTTCGTTGGTTGTGATGATAAGTAGAAAGAATATGCTTTCTCTAGGATTTTAATTCCTGGTTCAGTTTTCTTATATAATGCTGATGAAATTAACCAACCTATCTGTTTTGTTATTTAAATTAATTTGGGATAATAGCCCTAGTCTATTGACTTTAAAAAGTCAATCTTTTATCTCTCCTGAATCGTCCCAAATTGAATCTTTGAATACATTTTCTAATTATTCTTTTAGAAGCTGAAAATTAATTACTCAATAGATTTCTATAAATTAGTTGTAAAGATAATCATTCTCTTTTGATTCAATTAGAGTATCCCAGGGCATAGGGACACCCCCTAAGTGCAGATGACACGATGATTAAGACCAGATTAGCAGCAGGCGCCCCTGGCGCTGTCCTTACTCCACACAGTGAGCGCTGCGGATGCCTTCAGGGAGCCCTCTGTGTTGGCTGCATAGCAGGTGTAGTTGCCAGCGTCCTGGACGAAGACAGGGGCTATCTGTAGACCCCCAGACTCCAGGAGCATGAACCTAGGAATCCGGACGGAGCCACTGGCCAAAATGTGGTTTCCTGAAGAAGAGCAGAAGAATGGGAATGTGAGAGCCCTGCTTCGTGAAATGAAAGATGAGATCAGGAAGTCAGAGCCAAGACAGTATGTGAGGAAACAGTCAGAAGAAAGCAGACATTTTATGCACAAAATGACAGAAGCAGTTTTCTTTTATATCATTTAGAATAACAGAAACCGGCCCTCCCTGGTGTCACAATGTGTTAGGCACAAGCTGGCCACAGCTGCTTCAGCGTGAGTTCGATCCCCATCCCGGAGGTGACCACATGGCGCAGCAGACCTAACCTGACCCGCTCGCTGCTCCCCTCAGCAGTGTACTTCGTCAGTCTGCCTGTTCTGCTCCCCACTCTCTCTCTGGTGAATCCTCTCACTGCCCCTGCACCTCTGGCCTGTTATGTATGAATAAAGAAATAAATCTTTAAAAAAACTAAATAATAGAAACCAAGGTTATCGTAATTGTCCAATATTGAGAAAGCTGGCTAAACAAATCAAGATTTGTATGCGATCATTACCTTTGAGTGACTTTTATCTTGATTGATATTCCTATGGGTTTGAAAATGTTCTATACAAAGTCATATACATCTTAAGTCTAAAAAAGAAAATATCTAAAATAAAGGAAATGCCTTTTTCTTGCCAATTGTCAGTGTCCAGAGCCTCAGGTTTCTAAGCTATGTTCTGAGTGCAGGAATTGCATTCTGGGCGTGAGAACCACTGTGTGGCTTTCTGGGAGCATGAACCAGGTATAAGTCTGGGATTTTCACCCGGGCAGAGTCCACCATGCTGACTAGTTAACCTATTGTAACTGATAGGTTCCACAGGATGCATTAAGGAGTGGCACTGTGCGCCTAGTGACAAGTGCGCCCTCTGTGGCCGGAGGCCACCAACACAGCCTGAGTGTCGCTACTCTTCACCCGACTGAAGTGGAACTGGAATGTCAAACTGGAGAGGATGAAAATGGTCCTCTCTGGAAGCATCTTGCTTTCATAAACAAATGGTCACAAACAAAACGGTTCTGAGTCGTCACTTTGAATACTACCAGGGTAGAAGTTCATTTCACTAATGGGGAAACTGAGTCCTAGGAGCACTGCTCCAAATCCCATACCTTGCATTTGAAGGATCCCCAGCAGGCCCGAGGTACTCTCTAAAGGGCTGAGACAGGTGAAAGTGATATGTACCCAAAGCTTTAAAATGTCTGTTTCCTTTTCTAGGCTGTGAGCTTCTTGAAGGCAGGGGTCTGCTGTCCAGCCATCCCAGACAGGGATCTGGGTTATTTAGTCTTTTACTGAGTGAACAAATATGAGAATAATGAGCCACGTCCTTGGTCTGGTGGGCTCAGGCCCCATGTTGTTGGTGCCATGGTGGACGGCAGGCTGCCTACCTCTCTTCCATGTGATGGCAGGCTTGGGAGCTCCGGACACCTCACACCGTAACACTGCTGTCATCCCGTCTGTAACTGTGGTGTCCACTGGAAGCTGAGTGAAGGTTGGTGCGACATCTGAGCAGAGAGTCAAACAGGGTTCTATTCAGTGTTGTTTCTCAAAAATGCTTAGACTGCTCTGGTGAGGTGGCCTATGTGGACGTTTATAGAGCTAATCTCCGAGACACTGTAGTGATAAACAATGAAAACCTTTCAGAATGACAATAAACTGTCATTTCTGTCTTTCAGGAATTGTCTATTTTTGTTTAGAACCTAAGAGAATACAGTCTCCGATGTAACAAATGCACAGTGGGAAAGTGTAGGGACCTGGGAAGAACAGCTTTAGATGGATATAAAAAGAGGTTTTATTTAGATAAATCAAACAAGTTGCTGTCATTAAGTAAGAAAAAGCTGTCTTTTCGAATAATACGTATCACCAAGGATGGGAGTTTAACACTTTCCAGGATCCATTCTCAAAGTTACAATAACCAGATTGCAAGGACGACAGCAGAGAATTCCTGGGAAGTGATATAGGCCCTAAGCATTAGGGGATCTTCTTATTAATGGTCAGGGGGAGGGGTCTGTACATGCCTCAAGCCTCCAACAGCCCCGAATCAGACAAAGGAATGGCAGGAGTAGCTGAGGCTGGTTTCAGTGAGGGCTCCTCTGACTGCACTGCTTTGTTAGTGATGAAAACAGAAGACCCTGTACATCAGTGATCTGTAGCTCCCAAGCCCACATGGCAGCGTCGGAGGAGCCTGGGACCAAAGCCCCTAGCAGCAGCGAGAAGGCTGAAGGGGCGGAAGGCGCAGTGGCTGCCTCTCCCTTCAGTGGGTGGGGATTCCTACAGCTCGGTGAGTCCTGCTGCTTCTCCCTCGAAGCATCTCACTTCAACACATGGCTTGCACTACTGACTTTCCTTAACTGATCCCTTCTGCTCTTGCCCTCAAAGTGTATTCAATAGCCAGCCCTTTGACAAATGGCACCAGAAGCTTCTCCCACGGCTCTTTGAGAGGCTGGCTGCTATTGTCCTCCATCCTATCTCCTACTCCTTGCTCACTCAAGGACCCCTCCTCATCCACTTTCTTCTCCTTGCATACACAGGTAGCCTAGCTTGTCCCCTCATGCCCCCTGACATGCACAGCCCCCAAGATATTGTATGACAGGCCTCATCATCTTAGTTCAAGTCTCAGCTCCAATACATCTGAGAGCCCCTTCCTAAGCTCGCCTGATAGGGCCTTCCCTGATCTCTGCTCTTCCCAGCCCTCATCCCTAGTGGAAGCATCTTGTCCTTCACTGTTGTTCTCTGTCTTCCTCATGCCTCTGTCTCCAAAACCTCAGGAACCTAGAGTATCTCACATAGATGCTCAATAAACTTTTGTCAAATAAATGAAAAATTATTGACTGTTTCACATGCTGTATATCTTCCTTTCATGAAAGATGTTTTCCATTTGTTTTTAAATAACCCTTTTGCAAACAGGTCAGTGTAGCATTATCATCATTATTACTTTTCTGTTTCCCTGGTTGTCATGGAAGCCAGTTTAAGGAGCACTGTCATTTACAGTGTCAGTCTGATCTTCATAAAACCCCTGTGGGTTGGGTTGGTTCCATTTTGATAAGAAAACTGGGGTTGAGAGAAATTGCATGAGGTGCCTGAGGTTTCTCCCTAGAGTCAGGGCCAGCAAACTGCAAGCCATAAGCCAAATGCAGCCTGTTGCCTGTTTTTGTAAATAACGTTTTACCAGAATGTCGTGAGGCCCCTTATGTGCCTATTTACTGAGGCAGCTTTCATACTGCTTGCAGCAAAGGTAAGGAGGTACAAGAGACCACATTCCCGAGAGCCAAAAATAATTCCTATGTGGCCTTTGACAGCAAAAGTTTTGCTAGGCCTAGCCCCAGATCACCATGGTCCGCAAATACAAGTTAGGCTTGAAGGAATTCGGACTGACCTAAGCTCAGTTTCTGTTTAGAAGCCAATATTATTTCCACTGCTTCCACAGTATTGGCTTCTTATGCTTCTAACCTAAAGATAAATTTGACCCTGGACAAGGTTCACACAAGTCATCCCTAGCTCACTAACATACACCCATATATCTCTAAATGTCCCCCCAGTGACTTCTAAGTTCCCGCTGGCATGGGCTATGGCCCGTGTACACGCTGACACTGATTCGCTTTCTCAAATGGCTTTCACACCTGAGGATATAAGCATTTTGTTTCCAAAAGGGCAAACATGAAAGGTGTAGTTCCATAATCATGAGCTCCTATTTTGTTTTAAAAGAACAATATTACAACTATGGGAGATTAAAAAGAAAACCCACAGATACTTGAAAACCTTTACCTTTATTTTTCAAAGACAGAGTGCCAAAGTATTCCTGTTAATGGAATAATAAAAGAAACTCACAAAAGAACCATAATTGTTCAATAAAACTAAAACAGAAAATGTATATTTTAAAAATGGTGAAAAGATCAGAAGAAAAAGATTAGGAGCAAGGTAGTCATGCAATATTCCTTCCAGTGCTGTCCAGAAAAATGGGAGATTTTTTTCTACTTCCTTTCAGGAAAGAGGAAGACTTAAGACCTGGAAAAATCGAAGCTTTCATAAGAACAGGGAGGACACTGGTGGGAGACCACCGTGTGTATTTGCCGCTCACCGGCTCCCGTGTGGCTGCTCCTGAACCTGCAAGTGGGCAAGGCCTGTTTCCATTTGATCTCAGGGGCTGAGTGGACACGGCCCCCTTTGGAGCGTCACAAGGGCCAAGGTCGGGAAGGCCAGAGGTCCGGTTCTGCAGTACTCACTGGTCACATCCAAGTAGGTGTAGGTCTGGATTTCCCCTCCTTCGTTACTGGCAAAACACTGGAAGATTCCAGAATCCTCTGGGTGCAGCTTCTGGATGCGCAGGACTCCGCTGGAAAGCACTTTGTATCGAGGGTTCTGGAGCTTGCTGACGGACGTGGCATCCTTGTACCAGCGGAGGGTAGGCAAAGGCACCCCTGTGCAGGAGTGGAAGTAAACGGCATTAAAACTCAAATTTCAAGAATTCCTTCCTATAAGCACTTAGGCAACATTTTTCAGACTAAAAGTGGCTGAATTTTAATAAGCATGTTATCATCTATTAGTCCTTTACCCCTCTCCCAAGCCACGAGGAGTTATTTTTCTCATTTTAGATGAGAAATCAGCAGAGAGGCATTAACAGGGGTGAACTTAGACTCAGATGTGATCCGCTGGGCTCCCCTGAGCTGCACAGCTTTCGCTATTACCTAGACAGAGCACTTCGCACCGTGCTGGACTGCGAGCCAGGGAGGGGAGGTGAGAACTCTGCTGCTCTGCAGGGCCTGATTCTGCCACTAGGGCTCAGGGAAGGTCATGAGGGACGAGAGAGCACAGCACTTAGTCAAACCCCAGGCGGGGATGGTGCCATCTTAGGCAGACTACAATCTCCCCTTGTCTCTTTCCTCTCTTGTGGAGAGGGAGTGACCATCGTGACCTCAGAAGGTTGTGGTGAATATTCATCACATCGACACAGATAAAGCTCTCAGAGCGAGCACATGGTGGGTGCTCAGTGGACAGGACTCCTGTTAACTCTGCAATAGAAACATGCCGTCCTCAAACCCTCTCCTTAAGGAGTGGCGGTCACTGCCCAAGTGGCTGTCCACTGTTGGGTGGGGTCCCTGATCAGGGTAAGGAACAACCACACAAGATATATTTGGTGAAAAGTTGAGGAGACGTAAGAGATATTAAACTGTGGATGGGGGATCAATTGTCTTGGCCCCTAAGACAAACATGAGCACAACAGAGGAGGAGGAGGGGCTGTAGGATGGCTCCATTTTGTACCCCAAGAGCAGAGTGAGCAAGAGAGCATGGTTCACATGTTGAGTACTAGGCCTGAAAGGTTTGGCTCAAGTGAAACATCCAGCAGTCCCTCCGAATGGTCCCTTCCTCATCTGCACATCACGTGAAAACGAGGCTGGTCAAGGGCCCTTCAGCTGTGCGCATGGTCTGGAGGTCTGATGGGGATTGAGGGTTGGGGGTTTGCAGCTCACAAGGCAGAACCTGGCTGACCGTGAACCTGGCTCCCTCCCCGCCCCCCCCAGAACATGGGGGTTTCTGCTGCTCAGCCCCTCCGTGGCTGAGGTCAGTTCAGAAAAGCCAGGAGTGAATGGCTGCCTCCTCTATCTAGCGCTCCCCACACACACCTGCGGCCTCCCGCGTGGGATGAACTCCAATCAGGACCACCAGGCTGCACCCGCTACTGGCTCTGCAGGAGCTTGGGGACTAGCAGCAGGGGAAGACTGGCTTCGCGGCACTTCTGATGACCCCTTCTGAAGCAAGAAAGGTCAAGCTCCACCCAGAGGGGCATGCTGGGCACACCAGAGAGGCTTGCAGAGCTAGACCACAACACTCAAGCCATCCACGTCCCGACTTACAGTGGGCACATGTCTGTTGGTTGTGGATACAGGTGGAGCAGGCAGAAACATCTAGCTTATTTCTAGATCTCAGGTGGGTGGTTTGGTATGTACCTCAGTTTCTCCAAATGCAAAGTGGCTTTAAATAAAACACATGTTGATATGGTTCATGGTGAAAAATTCACCCAAATCCCTTGATTTAGGATGACATGTAGGTACACGGCATCTTTTAATAAATAAAGTTAATGTCATGGAATATTTCAACGTAATGTATGTTCAGATTCTGTTCTTTGCCTTAATTATGTTTCCTGTCACTTTTCATTAAGTCAGGAAATTAAAAAAAAATTCATTTCAAGGTAAAAGCATAACCAATTCGTGTGAAATCTCATAATAGCAATTACATGATGTAGCTTTCATAAAGAATAACCACTTCACATGCTGCTATAGTTTCACTGTCAAAATTAAAAGAAAGCAGTAAATTATATGATGGCAATGCAATGTTGAAAGAGCTGTTCAATATATATTTATAAGTCTATACTTAACAAGCAGTTTACCCAGTAGAAATCATGCAAAAAGGAACATTCTCTTGTCAAAGGGAGAGTCGAAGATTGTCACTTATTGAAAAATAATTGTTAGGAGATAGGAAACCAGGGGTATTTCTATTTTGGGGCAGTTTAATGTCACAAACAGAAATCTTATCCCACACAGTATTGTAGACTCTTGTTTCTAAAATATAAACACTTTAAATATTTCATGCTACACTTTTATAGAATTGTTGGCCTTAAAAAGCTGGTGTTTATATAAGAGAGAGAACAATGCAACCACGGTAAGGGAAATATTTCCATTTAAAATTCATATTATGGTTCTCGCCCCCTTCCCCCTGCTCCCCTGCGGCTGCATTAGCAGAGTCAGCACAGGCAGGAACAGGCAGCTCTGTCAACAGAGGCCTGAGCGCCAGAACACCCTGGTGGAGCAGATGCTTGGGGCAGGGGAGATGGTACACACAGGACAGTGTGAAAAAGGGACTGTGGTCAGACACTGCCCTTTATAGTTGCCATTAACATGGTACAGGGAAACTCTACCACCTAGTTTCAGAAATGAAAAACGGCATGACATACTTATAAATAAGTGGTCTTTGTGCTAAGTCCATGGAACTGTCGGGACGAGCTAGGTGTCCTGTTCAAAGCACTGGCTGTGGCAGCTGATGATTTGGGTCTGGAATGTCTTCTCTCCATTATCATATACCTGTGTGTGTGTGTGTGTGTGTGCGTGTGTGTAGGGAGTATTACCTGCCCCGTAGTTAAGGGGCAGCTCCTGCCTTCCTGGATCTGGGCCAGGCCTTCACCAGCACCTTCCTGCTCTGTGCCTTGACCACCTTACTTTGCCTTGCTTTCTAAGGTTTTATTTTCCCCACATATGTGCAGTGAGATAATAACATCTCTCACGGAGCTATTTTGAAGATGTGCTAAATTGTTAGTAAACCTTACCCTCCACACTCTTAGAAGAAAATGCCCACCCTTGAGATGGACAGGTATTAACATAAAAGAAAAGCTCCTTTCATTTCTTGACAATCTCCAGAGCCCTCACATAGCTTTTGTTAATGAAATTGCCTTAAAAAGCCTGTCTCTGCTAGGGGGTTTGGTATAATTACTTGTGCTGCTGGGCATGAAATGGTGAAAGTGGACAGCTAGTAATCAAGGCCTGGGGCCCAGGGTTGGCATTATCTGAATAACAAAGGAAAAGTCCACCCAAAGCTGAAAAGGCAGAAAAACAGGAAGATTTCCTATTCCAAGATTTAAAACAATGTCCTAGGGGCTGACTTGGTCACCATTCCCAGCCATCCATGGAAGGGAGTGTGATGCCCCAGCACTGAGCCTGGGGGTGGGGTGGGCTGGGGCTGGCTCTCAGGGCAGTTGAAGGTGGTGAGCAGCTTTGCTGGGACAGAGAGGGGTCAAGACTTCCTTACTGCATGTGCTCTTGGGTAAATACGACTATCCTAGCCTTGAGGATGAAGACGGGAAAGCTCAGCAAGGTCAAATGCCTTTGTCAAGGTCACATACTCAGTGACTCTACCCCAAGGTTGTTTCTAACCATTCGCTCAGCAAAGATGCCCCTGCCCCAGAAAAACGCAGTCCCCACTCCTGCAGCTCACGGCTGCCTGTCTGCTCCCCGCACTCACCCATAGCTCTGCACACGATGTCCACGGTTTCCTCCACTTCGACCAAAATCCGATTCTCAGGTTCAGCGGTAAAATATGGTGGCTCTTTAAACAAGAAAACACATAATCGCCTCTAAGCAAAAGAAGTGTATTTCCAGAGGACCTTAATAGTCTGATACAGTTTGAGTTCCTTCTGAAAACTATTTTTAAAAACTTCATTAGTTACCCTCATACATACAGACTCAGAGAGCAGAGGCCAAAGGCAATTTATATTTGCAGGTTTCAGAAAGCAAATTACTACTCAGGGCGATGGCTACTTTTCAGTTTATGGGCTTGAATCATGGAATATCTTAATTCACATTTTAGAAGGACTATCCCAAGAGGTTCATAAAGGTTTATATTTACAGCACAGTATTTTATAGGCTAGTTTGCTTCAGTATCTAAACTAAACACCAACTCATGAAGCATGTCAAATAAAGTGCCACAGCAAGACACCCGGCCTGGACCAGGGAATCGGGCAGCCTATTAACATATTTAAAAAATCTTAGCAATTCTTCTTCTCTAAAATATAGATTTAATACTCCAATAGAATGCAAACTAATAGCTAAGAGAAAAAGGAGGAAGGCCCTCATCTATCTTTACCAACAAAGGAGATGCTTAACCGCTTGACTATCTCTAGATAGTTCACTCGTTAGTCAACACACAAAAAAATAGGGGTGTATTAAACAATTTCCTTGGAGAATAACGTGCAATATTTTTCTCAGTGTATTCAGCAGAAATTCAACAGTGGCACGGCCAGGTTCATCCAGTATTAAGGTGGTAGTGATTTTATTATCATGATAACAAAAGGCTGTTGTGTTCACTTTCTGTGTGATAATTAATTTCTGGGCACTGTCTTCGAGAATGGTTTATTTTCATTGTACTTGTGTTGAATGTGAATAATATGGCTTGGCATGCCTCCTATATTGACTGTGTCTAAAACAGGGCGGAGCCTAAAGGAAGAAAAATAGAGTAAGAACTTAGCATTTCAAAGAGATGATCAAGGAGAACAGACCTAAGGTTTCTCAATGGAGGCAGTTAGGTATCAATTCTGCAATTACCTGGACCACTCAAGCGGAAACAATCTGCTGAATTACCTTCTCTGGTTAAGGCCTCACCTTCAGTAGGTAAAGGCAGAAGACCTGACTTAGTTTTGCATGTATATAGACCAGGTCTGAAGAAATACTGCACAGATTTAGAGTCAATCTTTTCCAAGCTGGTTTTTATTGCACACTCATATTCACACTCCATCATGTCTCATTCATCAATAATAATGATAGCTGCAGTATTTATATTCTAACTATGCCGTAGCTGCACTGTGCACAGGTCATGCCCGGTATTCATCAGCCAGTGCTGGAATCAATACCTCCAGCTCTGACCAGCTCAGAGGACGGGAGGAGATGGGGTGGGGGGTGAGGGGGAGGGGCAAGTTAAATCATCAGCATTTGCCTGTGGCCAATTACAGTTTTCCATTCTTAAATTACATGTTCTATTTTGATTTAGTTGTAGCATCCCATGCAATTTGAAAAAAATAATGCATTCTTTGCTCTGCTTACTCCAAAGGTGTAAGGTGATGTCCTAGAAAACTACAGAACCATCAAGATTCTCACGCTGACACAGTCACCCTAACACGGTCACCTCCCTCATTCCCACCCTTTCCCCACCCTCGTGCGTGCTTGCCTGTGCCACGGTGCTCGGTGCAGTGTGGCCGGCTGTGCAGGTCTCCACCGAGCAGGTCCATGCCAAGGGCCCCTCACTGCTGCCCTGCTGGAACCACCTCCACCCCAGCGTCCCGTGCCCACCCTCTGTCAACCAATCATCTTCTCTCCATCTCCCCAACACTGCCGTTTCAAGAATGTTTTAGATATGAAATCACATAGTGTGTAATCTTTGGAACTGGCTTTTTTCACTCAGAATAATTTCCTTGAGATTCATCCAAAAGCAGTTACATTTTGACAGTGAAAATCCATACATACAAATGGTCAACATCTACAGGGCCAGACGGTTCTCCGAGTCCTGACTGCAGATGCTGCCAGGCACAACGGCCCAATGTCTGGGTGGTGGCTTCCTCATCTGGCTCCCCCTAAGTGCTAGGGAGGGGCCTCGTCTGGGGTTCCGACACTAGGATACTCTTCCCGCAGCAACCTGAGGCTGGCTGGAGCCTGGCTCTGTGGCGCTGCGCATCAGGGACCTTGAGGCCCAGCCAAGGCCACTCCTCAGAGCACTGCCAGCCTCCCAGGCCAGCTAGTTCCCACAGGGGCTTGGCACACTCACTTTACTCAATGCTCGGTGCCAAGTGCAGTCTCCAGGCTCTTCGGGCATGATCTGGAAGAGCAGCCTGCCAGTATTGCCAAGTACTCTCACTGGAGCCAATGCCAAGGGCCATTTTAGGAGCAGAAAGCTGCAAAGACTGGGAATGGCATGGGCAGAGCGTTTGTTCATTTACTGATGCTCTTGCCTTGTTCCTGAAAGTCCTCCAGGTGGCTGAGTGGGTGCAGCGGGGATGCTGAAGCCTGACAGGCCCACACAGCTCTTTCCTCATCAGAATATGTTACTATTTCTTCACAGCTGGCCTTTTATAGGACCCAAATGTAGCAGATGCTTGGAAGGGTTTTCTTTTGATCCCCAGCTACTTTTATACATAGTCAGGGTGAAGGAAAAAACTGCAGGGAAATATAAGGCATGTCAACCAGGACGGGACCATGGGGTGGACAGTGGGAACAGAGCTCCGTGACTCAGGGCTCCTGTGCAGACTCCTTCACTGTTTAATCCTCAAGGGCCATGTCTTAGCTAATCAGCAACAACTCTTTCTAAAAGGCTTCACTGCCAACATAGGCACGCACAAATTTTTACAAAATTTACCAAACTGTGGCCAGTAAAACCCTGGTTGAAGTAAACACTCTTGTCTCTTTGAAACATGATGAAGACATCAGCAAAATGGCCTCATTCCCTGTCTGAAGCTGGGTGTTAAGAGGAGGCTGGCCACGCTGGGGGCCCCCTGCCCAGGGCGCAGGCTGCACAAGCTCCAGTCCCCCACCTGAGAACTGGGTGTGAGGGCTAACACTCAGCAGCCCCAACAGGGCCTCTATCAGGTACTCCACGCTCCAAATGCCAGAGCAACAGGGCACAGGTTGCTGCCCAAAGGAGGAGGCATGGTTGAGGCCCAGGCATACCTAGGGTACCTCACACTCTCCTGCCCCTTACTGGGTACTTTGGCTTCTGACAAATGATTTTCTCAACTCTGTTTTGTTGGCAAAAAAGCATTGACATTCAGTCCTTGAGTCCCTTCCTTTGAACCCCACCCCCACAGCTTCCTTGATGTCAATGATCCTTACCTGTGTGATCCACCTACAGGTCAGTCCCCTATCTCATTAGAAGTGTCTCAGACAATGTAGCTTACATCAGTATTTTTAGCACTTACCATTAATTTCAGAGAAGACACTTAAAAATATCTACTGAAAGACAAGATGAAGGATAGCAGCAGAGACCTTGAAATCCTTAAGCTCCTTTAGGGGAGGACATGTGTCTGATACTTCCTTGCAAAGCCTCCACAATTCTCTAACCACACTAACACGTTAGCTTAGTAACCTGCACACACTATGCGCTAAGCAGTGACGGGTGCATGAACAGTGAAGACAGGAGACTCGCCAGAAGCCTGGAGGAGCAGATGGTGTCCAGACAGGCTCACCCTTGCCCCACTGCAAAATCCTACCCTATCTTGGGATTCCAGGACTGGTCCAACAATCCCACATTTAGCAGTGACCCAAATCATTTGCTGTTTGCCTCAAATGAATTTCCCCTTTTCTCTTAGAAACAGTTCCGTAGTAGCTTTATTTTCTGAGTTCTATGCAGCAATACACAGCCATGCAGATAAGCTCCAGAGCTGTGATAGCAGATCAATAATGAACATAATTACCATAGGTCATATGTGACTATAATACCAGTCATATGTAAAAGCCGCCGACCTCTTCAGTGTATCGCAAAGCAGCACAAAGGGATTAAAAGGCAGGCTGTCTTTAGTGGGCTGACCTGGCTGCGAGATTCTCCTGTGTCTGGAGCTGGTGGAAGCTCACCATGTGTCTGGATAACACGTGTCCCTGCACAAGCTGGGAGGCCAGGGCCTCACCCCGAGCAGCAGCCACGTGTAACTGTAGCTGCCTGTGAGGGCTTGTCTTCAAGCAGAAATCCTCCGCGCCTGGGGTGGCTGCCTCCTCACTGCATGTTGTACACTCAGTAAACAAGTGTTTTGTAGTAAGCAGAGGAGGTAAGGCAGGAGAAAAGGGGCATGAGAGAAGGAAGAAAGGCAGAAAGAAGGGGGGAGGGAGGGGGGAGGGAGGTGGGACTCTGCTGGGGTGTAGACATTCATGAGTTGCTCCCTCTCAGCTGAGAACCTCAGTGCAGCTACAGGAGAACGTGGTATCAGCCAAGAGATGTTACAAGAACTTTGGTATGTCAACAAGAAGACACTGGGATTTCTAAATGATGTAGGTGTAACGATGGAGAGAGGCTGGCACATACAGAGCTGGCTCTCTGCACAGCTGTGTGGGGACAGAAGGCCGCACGCGTGCACAGGCAGGACCCAGCGTCAGGTCGGCAGCACTGCTGGGTTTGTGCAGAAGAGTGGCTGTGTCGGGGTGGGCAGACAGAATATGTTCCCACTGCGTTTCACTGGACTGGCGGCGCACTCTGCTCCACACAGTGGGCACGCGGCCCCACACTAGGGCGCCCGGATCCCAGTGGTCAGAGGTCAACAGGAAGGAAGGCTGCACACTGACTGTGGGAACAGACAGGAGGAAGGCACAAGCGGGGCCACACGCGCGGCGTGTGGGGGAAGCAAGGAGATTATTGTGGGGGCAGGGGAGGGAGGCACAGATTAGGAGGAGAAATAGCAGCAGCCCTAGGGGAGGTTGGGACGGCCCAGCCCAGGCTGCCTCTCCTGGGCCGGCTGTCAGCGGTGGTGGTGCGGTCTGACCCCTGCGTTCCGGCTCACACCTCGGAAAGTGAGCAATACCGCAGGGAGGCTGACAGGCCGAGCAAAGAGTGCAGCTACTCTGTCTTGTCTCATCAGACTGAAATAAAAGTAACTGGGAGCCAGGATGCTCCTGCTCTTTCGTCTGCAAGGTTCACAGAGAGCTCTGCGCAGCCCCCGTGAGGGCGCTGCGAAGTCGGTAGCCGTCCTGAAGACCCTCCTTCCATGAGTGCTGGGTGGGGGTGTAATCTCCCGCATCACGCTGAATTGACAGAGCCTTTTCAGGGCTTTTCCAAGATGACTCAACCACAAAATCCTAGACCTGTCACAGCAAATTCTTACGGAGGGGAGGAGGGGGATTTAAATCAACGTCATAAAGAAACAACATAGGTTCGCTACCTTCAAAAATCAGTGCATGCTGGGATGGTAGAGGCGTATAAACACGATCTGCTTTAGGATTTAGATGTAAATGCAATACCAAACTTCATGTGATAGATTTAAATATTTTGAAAGGAATTATGATGGAAACAAACATCCCAGTTTACAGGGAGATAAATTTCTTCTCTGGTTTAAATTACCTTAAGCTGTTTTAACACAGTATAGTCCTGTCTGCTAGAGATTTACACATCACAAATTTTAATTTTGGCTCAATCTATAATGTACTGTGCTCATAGCTATAGATCAACCCTAATGAAAAAGTCCGCATGGGAATGGGGATGTGTTATTTCGTCGATAGCTAACACAGAGATGGTAAAAGTAGCATGAGAACCAGCTGAGACCCCTGGTGTAGAAGCAACAGTGACTCTGCACTGGCTTTCTGTGAGTTTTAACAATTCTTACAACTCTCAGAGGGACTGGCAGGTTTGCCTGCTATGTATTTGGTGGCCATTTTCAGGCCACAAAGCCATCTCCTGATGATTCAAAGAAATGTGACATCGTCAAGGCCTTTCATGCAGTATTTCTTGATATCTTTGATAATTTCATAGGAAGATAAAAACTCTTAAGTTTTCTTAGTTTGCAAGTGGTAAACTCTAAAACACGTCATTTGAAGAGTTATTGCTCTCCAAAGAGCTTTCTGCTTATTTGACTTTTTCCTGTTTTAATTCCTCTTCTGCTGGGAGAGAAGAAGGGAGGCAGGGTTCCTCCTTCCTGAGGCCCAGCTCTAAGACACCCTCTTATCTGCAGTGGTCTGTGTCCTGTCAGATGGGCCACTACACAGTAATCACAACCACTTAAGAAGAAAAGTGTCACAGGAGCTGAAGAAACCTTGATTCTGGAGCAACGGTACTTGCCTTACAGCTTAACATAATCTGATCATAACCTGAAAAACAGGTTATGTCCCTCAGCCACTCACTGCACAGTGCACACTTCCTACACACTGATATTTTCTGGCATTTAGTGCAACTCAGATGTGCTTAGTTTTATCTCCTACTTCAGGATGACACTAGGTTCATGCTCTAGGAAGCATCTCTGTTGGCATTTTTTAATGTAACAAAAGGTAACACCCAATATTTTCTCTATTCTGGGTTAAAAAATAGCAATTAATCTCTGAACACTGGTCATTAACATCAAATCAGAAAGTTGTAAAGCTTAGCGGCACCTGGGCAACCCAGGAAGGCGATTTATACATACACCAAGGTTTTCACCTATTTCCCAAGGGTTCTGATTGGAAGCAATCAGAAGACCATTTCTTGGAAGTATTCACCACTTTTTGGGTTGAATGAATCTGTATTTTTGGAAAAGGAGGCTAGATTGCCCTGGGAAAGTGAATTCAACTACACTGCCATTTGCTGAGCTGAAAACAGAATTAGTGAGACACAGGTGCTTCCAGGGGCGTGTCAGCATGGGGCTCTGGCTGAGGCAGTGAGAGCCATACCTATGACAGAAAGGAAGGCTTTTGCCCTAGCAGGCTCAAAAGTGCTTCCTCTTAGTGTCGCTTCGCAAACATACAACCCGGTGTCCGAAGATGTGGGATTGTTGATGGTGAGGTGTCTCCCAAAGCTGTGCAGCCCACTGGTGAGCCTCACTCCATTTCTTTTCCAGCTCACGCTCAGTTCTTCAACAGGCCTGTGAGAACAAAGGGTGTAGAGACAAAAACTGAATCATCGAGATGGCCATAATCATCATTTTAGGCATTCTGTACAAGCTTGACAAAGCTAATTCTACCAGGAACCATGGCAGGTTGAACAATGGACATTTAAAAATCAATCCAGATATAACTCTACTCCCTCACGGCATGCATCAATGATACATTCTCCTCAAGGGCTATTGAGCAGGGATAGCTAATTGCAGCAGCAATGGACCATAAGTGCTAATGATTCCATTTGCTCAGAAAAAGAATGTTTAAAATAAATACTACTGGGGGACACAGCTACATGGGAGGCGTGATCATGGAACTTAATTCTGGAGCAACCACTAACTAGGCCGGGAACACCTAGGACGAGAGAGGAGTTAACTATTTCCTCTGCACTAAGAGTCTCACCTCCTCTCTCCTCAGTTCAGAGGAGAACCCCAGATACCGCTCAAAGTTATCACTTTTCCTTCTCCTCCTCCTATTGAAATTTTATATTCAACATACATATAATGTAGTTACTTATTTTCTCATATGTGGTGCTTGTGGCTCAGCTGGACCAATAAGATACCATTTCCCAATGAGTAAAACCACACAGGATGTGTCTCTCCACATAGGGTAACTTCATGATGCTGCAGTTGTTGGTTAGTATTACCAAGTGGACGACCATCTGCGTACCTGGCATTGGCTATGCATTCCAAGGTAACCTCGCTGGATCCAGCTACCACACTGCTGTTTCCTGGGGGAATCACAATGATGGGGGCCATGGTGTCAGGTGTGCCAACATCTCCTGTGACAGAAAAAACGACAGTCCGTGAAACTCTCCTCAATGTAGAAGATGTGATCAGGACGTGACAAGCAAAACCTCTCGCCAAGCCACCTGACAGGGCTCCCAGACTCTCAGTTCCCTACCCCATCTTTGGGTGTGGTCATTATCACTGGTTTTTATAAGATCGTGGACTGGAGTTGAAGCATAGCTGCTTTCCTCAGTGAATCTGTGGCCTGTAAGGGTTGTTTGTTAGCTTCTAGAAGGCCTAGGATGCACTCAGTTTATTATGCAGAGAAGGGGCTTTCAACATTGAACATTCTCAATGCTTGCCAGGCTTATTTATTTATTTATTTTTATCACTTTAAGATTTTGTTTATTGACTTACCTAGTCAACCCACTGTTTTCAAATCTGTTCAATTCCACAAATATTTTATGATTCAGAACTCTGTGAGGCCCATTCATATTAGAAAGTGGCCAGTTTTCCTATTAGTGCCCAATGAGATGCCCAGAATACATTCAATGAACAAATTGTTCTGCTCAAACAGCACACTTTTGATCATTTTTCCTTTTCTGAAAAATAAATGTCCTAAATCCATCTCTTTTTGTGAGTATCAAACCATAAATAATTTCACTCACATTCCTGCTAACAAGGGAGAAAAAAAATAGGACACCTTTTTGCTAAAATCCATGTAATAACAAATTGAACCACCCACAGTACACTTTACTACTGTTTATTTAGAGAAAATGGAGACTGAGCTAACATTTCTAGAGCAGGAATTTCAATAAAGGATGGAGGTGGAAGAGACCAGAAATAAAAATAAATTTCAATTACTACAAATGCACAATGTTTCATCTAGTACTTCATGGGGACGCGGCCCGCCATTATTATGAGCAGCTGAAGAGAACTCTGGCAAATGGAAGGTTCTAGCCTGTGGGGCTGGAAGGGGGTGAGGGCCATGGAGAGAACAACAGGAAAAAAGAGGACTGGGCTCATCAACACTAATGTATCTCAGCTCTGTTTTCTGGTTCCAGTATGTGATTTCTGAATGAAAGGCTCACATGAATAAAGAAAAAAAGCTTGATTAAAACAAATGTAATGCTGTAAAGCTATACTGATCCACAGATGTGAAACAGATTAACAAGTGTCCTGAGGTCTCCTGGAAACTGCAGGGAGAACTTCATCTTCCCAAACTCTATTCTAAAACCAGCCCAGAAGGCATGTGATTGAAAGAGCTACAGAAAAGTCTCAAGGAAATACTTGAGAGAGGGAAAGATCTAGTTCATTTACTAGTTGAGTAACTAAGCACAACCCAAGTTTTTATTAGGAGACGGCATTGTGTAAAAAAGAAAGGTTAAGAACTATTGCATTTAATGGAAAGTGCACTTACCGCATATCAAATTTCTTTAACAGAAGAAAAGACTCAAAGTTCATCTGAACTGGTAAGTTATGCATAAAGTACTGCAGATAAAGTAGGATAAATGGAAACACCCCTGTTACTGCAACAAAACACTGTCTTACATGGGAGAACAAGCAAAATGGTAAACAGCAAGTTGCATGACTCAGGAGTGGAAGTCGTAGGCAGGACAGGGATGAAAATCAACCAGCCATCCTGCAAATGCACACCCTCTGTGAGAAGCTCACCCACCAGGGCTTCTTCTAAGTCTGTAAAATTGTGGAGGTTTTGGGGGTGGTCATCAGATTTCTGAGGAGATGCGCGAGTACGGACACATTTATGATGGGGCAAAGGACGAAAGTGGAATGCCAACCAGATTAACAACCTGCCCATCATCTGTGAAAGTTGCTGATGAGGAGAAATGACCTGAGAAGCTAATATTTGCAAATAGTTATGTGAAGTGAAGGAGAGCAGCAGTGAATGCTAAGAGGTCATGGAACATGGTGCTAATTTGGCATTAATCACTGCTCCGCCCCAGTGGCAGAAGAGGAAACCCGTGCTCAGCACTTGTCATTGCTCAGTGAGGACCGTTCCCTGGCTGGTCAGCCTCCACTGTGTACTGACCCAAAGGCGTTCAAGGGACAGATTAGCACCGAGCCCGAGCGTCTCCCCCTCAGGGACAAGGGGGCACTGTGTGCACCACTGACTGGATTTGGGCACGCCACTAGAAAGATGAGCAGGCCTTCAGTTGATTCTTCTGGAACAGTAACTTGTGTTTACACCATGGTATTTCCAAGTCCCCGCACCCTACGGAGCCAACGGGACTAGCCCAGAAACTTACTGACGTTGGGTCTGATAAGTTACAGTCTGTTCTCAACCTGTTCTTCTGATGCCAGAGAAGTGTCAGCTTCCCCTGACACTGTTGGAGACATTGGTGCAAGAGATGCAGATTAAAGTGTAGCTTCTCCTCTAAAGTATTTGTAATGCCCACCTAAGGTTGCTACTAAGTTGAGCTTGACTTATGGAAACAACAAGAGCAAGATCGAAGCAAGGTTTTCTGAATGCAAAGCCTTTCTATTTTCTGTCAGTAGATTTGCATATAGGACTAGGATCCAGATCTCCTACCAGCAAGGGTAGTGCTTCTTACGGGACACAGTAGGGGCACATGTTCTTCCTTAAAAACATTACTGTAGTGTTTTGATCAAATTCTTAAGGACATACTAATTAAAAGAAGTGCAATAATCCCTCTCACTAATGAGAACATTGGCTTGTCAACTGTCAACTTCCCTTTAGGTGGGAAGTTCCCTTAGGTGGGAAACTCATCATAAGTTTGAAAAGACTCTAGATACCGGAGAGCAGAGGTCTTTTCTTGGGATCATTCATTCCTACTTGAGAGGAATGTGACCTAGATGTGTGTCTGCCCACCCATCTATCTATTTAGTTTAGCTATTGAGTATGTTGCATACATCAGCAGGGATAGGAAATAGACTGTTCCAGAAACTGTTTATACCCTCCCCCCCCCCCACACACACACCGCCTTCTAAGATCTGCATCCTAACTAAGCCCCTGTGGCCAAGTTCCAGGCTAAGGCTGTCTTCCTGGGTAGCCAGAATTCTTCATCTGCAAGCTGTGGCCCAGACAGATATCCAGGCTCACAGGTGCTGGTGGCTCACTTCCTTGTCACTGTGGACCCACGGCTCTTGTTCCTGTACTGCTTCTTAGCAGGTTTGGATTCCTTTGCTAATGAGAGGAGGTAATGGAAGGCTTTGCCTGACATTTTTAACCTGCTGTGCTGACTTTTCTAACAAATTCTTTACATTCAAATTTTAGAAGATGCGAAGGAGAATATTCAGGCAGACATTTTTCAAGGAACAAAATCTGTTTATTTCTACCATTCCCATAGTATCTGAGATCTAATGTGCACTCAAAAATACTCAATGATTGATTAATTTCCCATAAATATTTTTCAACAGTGACATAACTTCCTTATCACTAATATCACCTCTCCTGATTTTATACAAAATGGGGACATTTTTAAATTCATATATGCCAATGTATTAAGAATTATTTTCAAGAAAGATAAAAATAAAATGGAAAGTAGAGTTTACCAAACACCACTATTGCTGACAAACATTTTAAATATAATAACAGGCCAGTAAGATGGTGATATTTTCTTCCTCTTATAGATGAGGAAAGTGAGGCCCAAAGTCATATGATAGGACAATTTTAGTATGATAGTTTAAATTTAGTAACGTTTCTACCCACAGTTCATAATCTTTCTTTTACACAATGCTATTTCCAAATAAAAACTTGGATTGTGCTTACTCAAATATTAAATGAACTAGAACTTTCCTTCTCTCAAGTATTTCCTTGAGACTTTACTGTAGCTCTTTCAATCACATGCCTTCTGGGCTGGTTTTAGGTGGTTGGAAAGGAAGACATGATTTTCTGCAGAGGTCAGGGACACACACAAGTAACTTGAGAAGTAGAAAGGCACATGCTTTAAATGGGGGATCTTTGTTGTGCTAGGGATAAACTATAGCATTTGGAAAGGGGATCTAAGTCCTGGTCAACTTCCCGACATAAACCCCTTCATCACTGGAGTGGCTGAGGAGGGAGGCAGTCTAGGTTGCATTTAATGGAAAGTGCACTTAACGCATATCACATTCTTTTAACAGAAGAAAAGACTCAACATTCACCTGAACTGCTAAGTTGTGAATAAAGTACTCCAGATAAAGCAGGACAAATGGAAACACCCTTGTTATTGCAACCAAATACTGCCTTAAGTGGGAGAACAAGCAAAATGGTAAACAGCAAATTGCACGACTCTGTGTGGGGAACACAGGAGTGGTGGGAGGTCGTGGGCAGGACACGAACTTCAGTCAACCAGCCATGCTGAAAATGCACAGTGCTGCCCCTGAGGGCATGCTTGACCTGGCATCCTTTCTTTTCAACTGTTTCAACCTGGATCTGGGCGTTCAGGTGCTGGCCAGGTCCCTGGAAGCACACTTGAGGTGATCCTTACACTTCAGTCCCCTCCGTGGTCCCTGGTCCTTTTTGTTTCTTCTCCCAATGATTTCCGATAAAGATTCTACATGTCCAACAGTGAGAGCACAATCGTGAAGAACAGAGTTTATAATCCAACGAATATGGAAATACCATGGCTCCTCCTTGTTTGGGAGCAAGTGACTTAACATCTTTGAGCCTTACTGTCCTTATTTGTGAAACAACCACCATTTCACAGGGCCAATCAAAACAAGAGCATAAAATGCCTTATGGTACATTAAGATTGCATGTCTATGTCTGAATATATAATACATGTTAAAAGTGCACATGTGATACATGCCAGCAGTGTGATTGTTCATACATGATGCCTGGTACATAGAAAATGCACGTGAACTTGGTTGTTATGAAGATTTTTGTGAGGAAGGGAACAAAGTCCTCCTGCCCTGCCTTAGAGTTTCATACAATTCTCTGCCAGGGGTGTCCTTCTCACAGACCCCTGAAGGTGTGTGAGGCCAGTGTGGTTGCTCTTTCACCCGGTGAGTGAAGGTCAAGAATGCTGACCCGGCGGCCAATCCAGGGCTCCCCTCAGAGTTCAGCAGTTGAGCGGTGTGTGCCTATACA